CACCCCCCTGACCCAGAAATGGATTAAAGGGTAGAACATGGATGGATGGATGGATGGATATTGGTTGAAATTAACCCATAATGAGTCTGGACATTTACAGAGTGGTTCTGTTTTTACTTTCAGGAGAAGCCTCAGCTAAAAAACACAATTGAACAAAAAGCGTTGTTAAAAGTTAGCAAGTTATTATAGTTCCCTTCACTGACATCTGCAGACAGTGGAAGCCAAAGTGTCGGTGTCAGACTATAATCCACACAGACTAAAACAACTTTACAATATTTCCTTGTGCTCTGCACCTTTTTTATGGATTTTAGTATTTTATTTTATTCATAACAACACAGTAAAACAGACTCAAGGCTCTGCTCCTTTTACGCCCATGTTTGCTCTTTATTCTTTTTATTTTATTTGAATCATTTTGACAAAAGTCTCCATAATAGACAGTATTGGACAAGAGCCGCACTCTCCGTGTCTGCATCGGGAGTCATGGTGGAGTTAAATATCGTCACCCTCGTGCTGTTCTCTGCCTCTCCACGGACCACTTCTGGTCACCCTCGTGCTGTTCTCTGCCTCTCCACGGACCACTTCTGGTCACCCTCGTGCCGTTCTCTGCCTCTTCATCCGAGAGCGTTTTCTAATCATCTGTGTGTCAATGAGCCGCTCACACTTCACTGTCATGTGTTTTAATGTTATCAGTTACAAAGTAGCTGCTCTTTTACAAACTGACTTAGATCCTCTGGCGACTTTATCGGACATCATCTTTGGCAACGGCCGGAGGCGAGGGCGCCAAATAAGCAGTGTAGAAATGTGGAACAATGGGACGCTGTGTTCGGACATCAACGCTTTAATCCAGAGCCACTTTAGACACTTTAGCGACGGAACATGAAATACAGATGAGGGTTTAACAAACACAAAGGCTGCAGCGTCGGCACTGATGGCGTTAGATGGAAGTATAAGATTATTAAGCGTTAAGATTATTCTCCTAAAGGTTAATCACAGATGATCCTGAATGAGCCGTCACTGTGCGTCTGAGCCTTTTACGTTTGTCTTTTCAATCATCAACAGTTTGTGGCATCCATAAGTAAGAGAAAAATACTGATTTACTAACTATAAGTAAAAGCATCATGTACATATCTGGCCTGGGAATACCCATCATGCCCCTGTGCGCCCGGGTCATTTCAATCTGCAGAACATATTCACTTGTGACGTTTAGGTGTCAGACTCAATGCATTTTTATTTAGTCGATACAAAGTTGGACTAAGACAGAAGAGAGAAACTAAGGGGTTGAAAATGAATGAATGGATGAATACAAATGGTCAATTTGTTAAAGTCTGTATCGTTTAAGTTTAAGTGAATGGAAACTTTGGATTATTATGGTATTATACATTTTGAGGGGTTAGGCCCTTACGTTTCGATTCAGTTCAAGTCCTTCCATTTGTGTGTCGCCCTATATATCATATCACAACAGTTGTCATCTCAGAAGACTACTGTACTACAAAGTTGTTGATTCTCCTCATTAAGGAACCACAGATTTGTTAGAATATAAAACACACAGAATAACTGACGTTGTATTGAAACTTGCGTTGCCTGATATTGACCTGTGTCTTTTTAAACATCATGTGAAAGAACCAGTGAAAGATCAGTCCTGTCTCAGTCTAAACGCTGATGGGATAATCCTCTGTAAAACTACATTTCTCGCAGATTACACAGACCTCCAGCTTTTCTAAACTTAGCCCTTTCTTTCATCACCTTCTTGGCTTCTTCCCCAAACGTCAATCACTCCTGGGGCTCTTTGATGGCGCCCTACCTGTTTGGGACGTCCCGGGGCTCTCAGACCTGTGCCCTGGCAGCAGCGCTGACATGATTATGGCTGGTTTTTAATTACAGCTCGCCCCTGAGGAAATTGTTGAGATACTTAGAAGATAAGGCAGACATGGAACAAAGAGGAGATTGTTGAATCCAAACGGACTGTGGTGAAACGAGACGAGGGGTGGCTGCGAGAACATAAACTTACACCCAGAGAAGGCCTGACTCCAGTGAGTGATTGACGAGTAGTTGCTAGACAAGATCTAACTAAACTAAAATGGAAAACAAAAATCAACTAATTTAAAAACATATATAATAATGTTAAAGCTGTGGTACCTTTCTTCCCCATGTAAATATTCCGTGTTGTCTTTCTCGACAGAAAGAGTCTTTTAAAAGTAAAATATCAAGAACAAATCTGAGTGAGTGTGGTCCTCTCCTTTTCACTGTTCTGTGTGGAAACAGCTGACAGTGACAGAATACATGCATGTGATAAAAGCAAACAGGAACTTTTTTTGCATGACGTTACAAAGCTTTAATTGTTTTCTGATTTGAAAGTCATGTACCCCAGCTTTAATTCGTTCATTTTCATTTTTCTAATTACATAAAAAAGAGAAAGGGCTTAATTGTGCAGCCTTGATCACATTCTTCTGATGGATGATGCTGCTTCAAAGACAATAACAAAGTCCTGTGCGGGTCCAAACATGTGGCAGGACAGAGCCAGAGGCAGATGGTCCAACACAAGCCCACCCTCCTCCTCCTGGACCCTCCTCCTCCTGGACCCTCCTCCTCCTGGACCCCCCTCCTCCTGGACCCCCCTCCTCCTGGACCCTCCTCCTCCTGGACCCTCCTCCTCCTGGACCCTCCTCCTCCTGGACCCTCCTCCTCATGGACCCTCCTCCTCCTGGACCCTCCTCCTCCTGGACCCTCCTCCTCCTGGACCCTCCTCCTCCTGGACCCTCCTCCTCCTGGACCCCCCTCCTCCTGGACCCTCCTCCTCCTGGACCCTCCTCCTCCTGGACCCTCCTCCTCCTGGACCCTCCTCCTCCTGGACCCTCCTCCTCCTGGACCCTCCTCCTCCTGGACCCTCCTCCTCCTGGACCCCCCTCCTCCTGGACCCTCCTCCTCCTGGACCCTCCTCCTCCTGGACCCTCCTCCTCCTGGACCCCCCTCCTCCTGGACCCTCCTCCTCCTGGACCCTCCTCCTCCTGGACCCTCCTCCTCCTGGACCCTCCTCCTCCTGGACCCCCCTCCTCCTGGAACCCCCCTCCTCCTGGACCCTCCTCCTCCTGGACCCTCCTCCTCATGGACCCTCCTCCTCCTGGACCCTCCTCCTCATGGACCCCCCTCCTCCTGGACCCCCCTCCTCCTGGACCCTCCTCCTCCTGGACCCCCCTCCTCCTGGACCCTCCTCCTCCTGGACCCCCCTCCTCCTGGACCCTCCTCCTCCTGGACCCTCCTCCTCCTGGACCCTCCTCCTCCTGGACCCTCCTCCTCCTGGACCCTCCTCCTCCTGGACCCCCCTCCTCCTGGACCCCCCTCCTCCTGGACCCTCCTCCTCCTGGACCCCCCTCCTCCTGGACCCTCCTCCTCCTGGACCCCCCTCCTCCTGGACCCTCCTCCTCCTGGACCCTCCTCCTCCTGGACCCCCCTCCTCCTGGACCCTCCTCCTCCTGGACCCCCCTCCTCCTGGACCCTCCTCCTCCTGGACCCCCCTCCTCCTGGACCCTCCTCCTCCTGAACCCCCCTCCTCCTGGACCCTCCTCCTCATGGACCCTCCTCCTCATGGACCCTCCTCCTCCTGGACCCCCCTCCTCCTGGACCCTCCTCCTCCTGGACCCTCCTCCTCCTGGACCCTCCTCCTCCTGGACCCTCCTCCTCCTGGACCCTCCTCCTCCTGGACCCCCCTCCTCCTGGACCCTCCTCCTCCTGGACCCTCCTCCTCCTGGACCTCCTGGACCCTCCTCCTCCTGGACCCTCCTCCTCCTGGACCTCCTGGACCCTCCTCCTCCTGGACCCTCCTCCTCATGGACCCTCCTCCTCCTGGACCCTCCTCCTCCTGGACCTCCTGGACCCTCCTCCTCCTGGACCCTGGACCCTCCTCCTCCTGGACCCTCCTCCTCCTGGACCTCCTGGACCCTCCTCCCTCATGGACCCTCCTCCTCCTGGACCCTCCTCCTCCTGGACCCTCCTCCTCCTGGACCCCCCCTCCTCCTGGACCCTCCTCCTCCTGGACCCTCCTCCTCCTGGACCTCCTGGACCCTCCTCCTCCTGGACCCTCCTCCTCCTGGACCTCCTGGACCCTCCTCCTCCTGGACCCTCCTCCTCATGGACCCTCCTCCTCATGGACCCTCCTCCTCCTGGACCCCCCTCCTCCTGGACCCTCCTCCTCCTGGACCCCTCCTCCTCCTGGACCCTCCTCCTCCTGGACCCTCCTCCTCCTGGACCCCCCTCCTCCTGGACCCTCCTCCTCCTGGACCCTCCTCCTCCTGGACCTCCTGGACCCTCCTCCTCCTGGACCCTCCTCCTCCTGGACCTCCTGGACCCTCCTCCTCCTGGACCCTCCTCCTCCATGGACCCTCCTCCTCCTGGACCCTCCTCCTCCTGGACCTCCTGGACCCTCCTCCTCCTGGACCCTGGACCCTCCTCCTCCTGGACCCTCCTCCTCCTGGACCTCCTGGACCCTCCTCCTCATGGACCCTCCTCCTCCTGGACCCTCCTCCTCCTGGACCCTCCTCCTCCTGGACCCCCCTCCTCCTGGACCCTCCTCCTCCTGGACCCTCCTCCTCCTGGACCTCCTGGACCCTCCTCCTCCTGGACCCTCCTCCTCCTGGACCTCCTGGACCCTCCTCCTCCTGGACCCTCCTCCTCATGGACCCTCCTCCTCCTGGACCCTCCTCCTCCTGGACCCTCCTCCTCCTGGACCCTCCTCCTCCTGGACCTCCTGGACCCTCCTCCTCATGGACCCTCCTTCTCCTGGACCCTCCTCCTCCTGGACCCTCCTCCTCCTGGACCCTCCTCCTCCTGGACCCTCCTCCTCCTGGACCCTCCTCCTCCTGGATCCTCCTCCTCCTGGACCCTCCTCCTCCTGGACCCTCCTCCTCCTGGACCCTCCTCCTCCTGGATCCTCCTCCTACACACATACACACACACACACACACACACACACACACACACACACACACACACACACACACACACACACATCTACAGATGTATCTACAGACACCTGTCAAAAAGAACAAAGAATATTATTTGTAGTTATTACCCCCCCCCCAGAGCAACAGTCTGCCCCCCCCATCCTCCATGTCCCCTTCGTTCTGTGCTGCTGCCAACAGAGTTAGAATAATAAACGTAGTAATGTCTGCCCCGTAATGGAAGCTGCTTAGAAAGAGACAGATTTTTTGACTCTTGAGGTCACTCCAACTTTGTGTTTTCCTTCAGAAAATCTGGAGAGCCACATTTAAGTCTTTTTCTGAATGTGGTGTGTCTTGTATAATTTGCGGCATTTTTTCCACATGGGACAACTTTCCTTTGCTGCAGTTTTCAGCGGTTTATCTTCACTGTGTCATTGCCGAGCTGAACATTTAGCAGCAGTAGTGGTTTGGGTGTATTTAGGGAAAAAACATCAAGGGATTTTTAGAAGTCCATTTTGGACTGAGTAAAGAGCTGGTGATAAAGTGAAGGTCCCAGTTTGGGCCGTTCAGCAGTCTCTCCACAAGACACTTCTGTAAACTCTTTGTTAGAACAGAGATGTTCACGCATGCAGCTTTTTAGGGCTTTGTTCACACTCTTTGTCGTCTCTGTCTTGTGCCCTGGGACAGAGGGGTGTGCCTTCTACCAGTGGGCACCACCAGAAGTTTATTTTTATTTCAGGGTTTGGTGTTGAGTAAATAATAAATCCTTTGTGTCTGTAATGAAAAGAAAAATCTGATTTGTTTCCTAAATGTTGTGTAATTAAAAATGTCAATTTAATAACGCAAAGGTTTCTCACTGATCTTTGCACACAGTAATCTAGTCAAGCGCTGTAGCTTTGGGTTCAATATTAAAGTGAAAATGAAAGCAGATGTTTTATTTTCAGCGCAGTTACAAAGGCTGTATTCGCCCATATAACCTCTGAAGACAAAGCAGTCAGTGGGTTAGTCGACTGAAAAGTTCTAAAAAATGTACTGTATGTTATACTGACCTTTTATTTAACCAGGAAAGCCTCACAGAGAATTCAGGGTCTCTTTGTTTTTAGTGGAGGGAGAAATCAACGCTCCTGGAGCAAACCTATGTAGACACAGGAAGAACATGCAAACTCTCCAGAGAATGTCTTTAGAATGTTGATAAAACATGTGAATGCAGACACTCCGGGTCCGTGTCTGCAGACGTCTGGACATCTGCTCAGTCCAGTTGTTGGTCCGGCACAGACTGCATCAGGGAAACATGAAGATGAGGGATTAGAGTCTTTCCTGCTCCGGCCTCAGACTGTGATGTCACTTATGTAAAGACAATATGGATGGCCTTTCCATGTGCATTTTAATGTCGGAGCGAGTTAGCGAGGATTTCAGACTGTGCCAGACCTTACAATGTTGTGTTCATACTGTCTTTATAAGAGTTAGTTTTGTTTATTTATTGTGCCATAATCATTAACCTTAGAGGGAGAGATGCATGGACCCTGAAGCCCTGGACAGGCAGGAGTTATTATAAGGAATCATAAAACTCTACAGACGCCATATTCATAGAAGAAGGATCAGATCGTTGCATGCGCTACAATTCAAGATCATCAGTGTGTGTTTGCAATCAAGACATAAACATGGCAATAATAACCGTTTGTAACTATTGGAAAGCCCGTAGACACATACACAAGAACCTGTTCAAGTAGTGGGTCGTGTTTAGAACATATGATCACTCCATTCACCTCATAATAGAAATGTATTTGATCTGCAGGGGTAAGGTTCTTTCTTTAGCTTCAGGGTCTAGTACATCCATCCATCCAGGGTCTAGTACATCCATCCATCCATCCATCCAGGGTCTAGTACATCCATCCATCCAGGGTCTAGTACATCCATCCATCCATCCAGGGTCTAGTACATCCATCCATCCAGGGTCTAGTACATCCATCCATCCAGGGTCTAGTACATCCATCCATCCATCCAGGGTCTAGTACATCCATCCATCCAGGGTCTAGTACATCCATCCATCCATCCAGGGTCTAGTACATCCATCCATCCAGGGTCTAGTACATCCATCCATCCATCCAGGGTCTAGTACATCCATCCATCCAGGGTCTAGTACATCCATCCATCCATCCAGGGTCTAGAACAGTATAGCCATATTTAGTGTAGATTACGCTATGAATTTAAGAGTGTATTCAGACCTGAAAAGTCCTTTGCTCCGCTTGCTTGATCCGAATCAAAAGCGGACCAAACTTTTTTTCTTTTGCTCCGGTTCGTATTCAGACTGTCCTTTTTGCAAGTGAACTTTTTTATATAAACATATTGACACGTGTGACGATCGGCTCCTATTGGACAGAGAGAAAACATTGAGGGCTCGTATGTGCAGCATGTCTGCTCTGCCTATGTTTGCTCTTTTTAGACCAAAACCACCTTCAACATCAACATCAGCAGCAGCTCATATGACACAGGCCAAACACGTTGTTTTAAATATTGGAACAGTGTCGGAGAATGCGTGAGGAGAAAGCCGAAGGAGACTGTGCGCTCCGTGTCCTGTCCCACACATGGATCTATGATAATAACTCTGTTCCACACATGGATCTATGATAATAACTCTGTCCCACACATGGATCTATGATAATAACTCTGTCCCACACATGGATCTATGATAATAACTCTGTCCCACACATGGATCTATGATAATAACTCTGTCCCACACATGGATCTATGATAATAACTCTGTCCCACACATGGATCTATGATAATAACCCTGTCCCACACATGGATCTATGATAATAACTCTGTCCCACACATGGATCTATGATAATAACTCTGTCCCACACATGGATCTATGATAATAACTCTGTCCCACACATGGATCTATGATAATAACTCTGTCCCACACATGGATCTATGATAATAACCCTGTCCCACACATGGATCTATGATAATAACACCTGTCCCACACATGGATCTATGATAATAACTCTGTCCCACACATGGATCTATGATAATAACCCTGTCCCACACATGGATCTATGATAATAAACTCTGTCCCACACATGGATCTATGAAAATAACCCTGTCCCACACATGGATCTATGATAATAACTCTGTCCCACACATGGATCTATGATAATAACCCTGTCCCACACATGGATCTATGATAATAACTCTGTCCCACACATGGATCTATGATAATAACTCTGTCCCACACATGGATCTATGATAATAACTCTGTCCCACACATGGATCTATGATAATAACCCTGTCCCACACATGGATCTATGATAATAACCCTGTCCCACACATGGATCTATGATAATAACTCTGTCCCACACATGGATCTATGATAATAACCCTGTCCCACACATGGATCTATGATAATAACTCTGTCCCACACATGGATCTATGATAATAACCCTGTCCCACACATGGATCTATGATAATAACTCTGTCCCACACATGGATCTATGATAATAACCCTGTCCCACACATGGATCTATGATAATAACTCTGTCCCACACATGGATCTATGATAATAACTCTGTCCCACACATGGATCTATGATAATAACTCTGTCCCACACATGGATCTATGATAATAACTCTGTCCCACACATGGATCTATGATAATAACTCTGTCCCACACATGGATCTATGATAATAACTCTGTCCCACACATGGATCTATGATAATAACTCTGTCCCACACATGGATCTATGATAATAACTCTGTCCCACACATGGATCTATGATAATAACTCTGTCCCACACATGGATCTATGATAATAACTCTGTCCCACACATGGATCTATGATAATAACCCTGTCCCACACATGGATCTATGATAATAACTCTGTCCCACACATGGATCTATGATAATAACTCTGTCCCACACATGGATCTATGATAATAACTCTGTCCCACACATGGATCTATGATAATAACTCTGTCCCACACATGGATCTATGATAATAACTCTGTCCCACACATGGATCTATGATAATAACTCTGTCCCACACATGGATCTATGATAATAACTCTGTCCCACACATGGATCTATGATAATAACTCTGTCCCACACATGGATCTATGATAATAACTCTGTCCCACACATGGATCTATGATAATAACTCTGTCCCACACATGGATCTATGATAATAACTCTGTCCCACACATGGATCTATGATAATAACTCTGTCCCACACATGGATCTATGATAATAACTCTGTCCCACACATGGATCTATGATAATAACTCTGTCCCACACATGGATCTATGATAATAACTCTGTCCCACACATGGATCTATGATAATAACTCTGTCCCACACATGGATCTATGATAATAACTCTGTCCCACACATGGATCTATGATAATAACTCTGTCCCACACATGGATCTATGATAATAACTCTGTCCCACACATGGATCTATGATAATAACCCTGTCCCACACATGGATCTATGATAATAACTCTGTCCCACACATGGATCTATGATAATAACTCTGTCCCACACATGGATCTATGATAATAACTCTGTCCCACACATGGATCTATGATAATAACTCTGTCCCACACATGGATCTATGATAATAACTCTGTCCCACACATGGATCTATGATAATAACTCTGTCCCACACATGGATCTATGATAATAACCCTGTCCCACACATGGATCTATGATAATAACTCTGTCCCACACATGGATCTATGATAATAACTCTGTCCCACACATGGATCTATGATAATAACTCTGTCCCACACATGGATCTATGATAATAACTCTGTCCCACACATGGATCTATGATAATAACTCTGTCCCACACATGGATCTATGATAATAACTCTGTCCCACACATGGATCTATGATAATAACCCTGTCCCACACATGGATCTATGATAATAACTCTGTCCCACACATGGATCTATGATAATAACTCTGTCCCACACATGGATCTATGATAATAACTCTGTCCCACACATGGATCTATGATAATAACTCTGTCCCACACATGGATCTATGATAATAACTCTGTCCCACACATGGATCTATGATAATAACTCTGTCCCACACATGGATCTATGATAATAACTCTGTCCCACACATGGATCTATGATAATAACTCTGTCCCACACATGGATCTATGATAATAACTCTGTCCCACACATGGATCTATGATAATAACTCTGTCCCACACATGGATCTATGATAATAACTCTGTCCCACACATGGATCTATGATAATAACTCTGTCCCACACATGGATCTATGATAATAACTCTGTCCCACACATGGATCTATGATAATAACTCTGTCCCACACATGGATCTATGATAATAACTCTGTCCCACACATGGATCTATGATAATAACTCTGTCCCACACATGGATCTATGATAATAACTCTGTCCCACACATGGATCTATGATAATAACTGTATACTCTGTCCCACACATCTATGATAATAACTCTGTCCCACACATGGATCTATGATAATAACCCTGTCCCACACATGGATCTATGATAATAACTCTGTCCCCACACATGGATCTATGATAATAACTCTGTCCCACACATGGATCTATGATAATAACTCTGTCCCCACCACATGGATCTATGATAATAACTCTGTCCCACACATGGATCTATGATAATAACTCTGTCCCACACATGGATCTATGATAATAACTCTGTCCCACACATGGATCTATGATAATAACTCTGTCCCACACATGGATCTATGATAATAACTCTGTCCCACACATGGATCTATGATAATAACTCTGTCCCACACATGGATCTATGATAATAACTCTGTCCCACACATGGATCTATGATAATAACTCTGTCCCACACATGGATCTATGATAATAACTCTGTCCCACACATGGATCTATGATAATAACTCTGTCCCACACATGGATCTATGATAATAACTCTGTCCCACACATGGATCTATGATAATAACTCTGTCCCACACATGGATCTATGATAATAACTCTGTCCCACACATGGATCTATGATAATAACTCTGTCCCACACATGGATCTATGATAATAACTCTGTCCCACACATGGATCTATGATAATAACTCTGTCCCACACATGGATCTATGATAATAACTCTGTCCCACACATGGATCTATGATAATAACTCTGTCCCACACATGGATCTATGATAATAACTCTGTCCCACACATGGATCTATGATAATAACTCTGTTCCCACACATGGATCTATGATAATAACTCTGTCCCACACATGGATCTATGATAATAACTCTGTCCCACACATGGATCTATGATAATAACTCTGTCCCACACATGGATCTATGATAATAACTCTGTCCCACACATGGATCTATGATAATAACTCTGTCCCACACATGGATCTATGATAATAACTCTGTCCCCACACATGGATCTATGATAATAACTCTGTCCCACACATGGATCTATGATAATAACTCTGTCCCACACATGGATCTATGATAATAACTCTGTCCCACACATGGATCTATGATAATAACTCTGTCCCACACATGGATCTATGATAATAACTCTGTCCCACACATGGATCTATGATAATAACTCTGTCCCACACATGGATCTATGATAATAACTCTGTCCCACACATGGATCTATGATAATAACTCTGTCCCACACATGGATCTATGATAATAACCCTGTCCCACACATGGATCTATGATAATAACTCTGTCCCACACATGGATCTATGATAATAACTCTGTCCCACACATGGATCTATGATAATAACTCTGTCCCACACATGGATCTATGATAATAACTCTGTCCCACACATGGATCTATGATAATAACTCTGTCCCACACATGGATCTATGATAATAACTCTGTCCCACACATGGATCTATGATAATAACTCTGTCCCACACATGGATCTATGATAATAACTCTGTCCCACACATGGATCTATGATAATAACTCTGTCCCACACATGGATCTATGATAATAACTCTGTCCCACACATGGATCTATGATAATAACTCTGTCCCACACATGGATCTATGATAATAACTCTGTCCCACACATGGATCTATGATAATAACCCTGTCCCACACATGGATCTATGATAATAACCCTGTCCCACACATGGATCTATGATAATAACTCTGTCCCACACATGGATCTATGATAATAACTCTGTCCCACACATGGATCTATGATAATAACTCTGTCCCACACATGGATCTATGATAATAACTCTGTCCCACACATGGATCTAATTGCTTTGGCTCAGTGCAACAGTCAGAAAGAGATAATAAAAATAAAGAATAAAAAATACTTCTAAGTAATACATTTAAATTTAAAAATAGAGTTACAGTTACTATTTACAATATCCAAGTGCACATGGTGCACACAATGTAAGGTGACAGCAGTACAGTGAAGTAAAGTGACGTATGATGGGCAGTAAAGTGACCTTTATAAAGGGCGGGGGGACAGGTTAAGAAGTGTTCAAGAGTCCAACAGCAGAGGGGAAGAAACTGTTCTTGTGGCGGGAGGTTCTAGTCCTGATGGACCGCAGCCTCCTGCCTGAGGGGAGTGGTTGGAATAGTCCATGTGCAGGTGAGAGGGGAGTGGTTGGAATAGTCCATGTGCAGGTGAGAGGGGAGTGGTTGGAATAGTCCATGTGCAGGTGAGAGGGGAGTGGTTGGAATAGTCCATGTGCAGGTGAGAGGGGAGTGGTTGGAATAGTCCATGTGCAGGTGAGAGGGGAGTGGTTGGAATAGTCCATGTGCAGGTGAGAGGGGAGTGGTTGGAATAGTCTATGTGCAGGTGAGAGGGGAGTGGTTGGAATAGTCCATGTGCAGGTGAGAGGGGAGTGGTTGGAATAGTCCATGTGCAGGTGAGAGGGGAGTGGTTGGAATAGTCCATGTGCAGGTGAGAGGGGAGTGGTTGGAATAGTCCATGTGCAGGTGAGAGGGGAGTGGTTGGAATAGTCCATGTGCAGGTGAGAGGGGAGTGGTTGGAATAGTCCATGTGCAGGTGAGAGGGGAGTGGTTGGAATAGTCCATGTGCAGGTGAGAGGGGAGTGGTTGGAATAGTCCATGTGCAGGTGAGAGGGGAGTGGTTGGAATAGTCCATGTGCAGGTGAGAGGGGAGTGGTTGGAATAGTCCATGTGCAGGTGAGAGGGGAGTGGTTGGAATAGTCCATGTGCAGGTGAGAGGGGAGTGGTTGGAATAGTCCATGTGCAGGGTGAGAGGGGAGTGGTTGGAATAGTCCATGTGCAGGTGAGAGGGGTCGGCTGTGATACGACCAGCCCGGCCTCGAGCTCGGGCGACGTACAGGTCCTGCAGCGATGGAAGGCTGCGGCCGATCACTTCCTCTGCAGAGCGCACAATGCACTGTAGTCTCTGTTTGTCCCTGACTGTGGCTCCAGCGAACCACACGGTGATGGAGGAGGTGATGGAGGAGGTGATGGAGGAGGTGATGGAGGAGGTGATGGAGGAGGTGATGGTGGAGGTGATGGAGGAGGTGATGGAGGAGGTGATGGAGGAGGTGATGGAGGAGGTGATGAGGAGGTGATGGAGGAGGTGATGGTGGAGGTGATGGAGGAGGTGATGAGGAGGTGATGGAGGAGGTGATGGTGGAGGTGATGGAGGAGGTGATGGAGGAGGTGATGGAGGAGGTGATGAGGAGGTGATGGAGGAGGTGATGGTGGAGGTGATGGAGGAGGTGATGGAGGAGGTGATGGAGGAGGTGATGGAGGAGGTGATGGAGGAGGTGGATGGTGGAGGTGATGGAGGAGGTGATGGAGGAGGTGATGGAGGAGGGGATGGAGGAGGTGATGGAGGAGGTGATGGAGGAGGTGATGAGGAGGTGATGAGGAGGTGATGGAGGAGGTGATGGAGGAGGTGATGGAGGAGGTGATGGAGGAGGTGATGAAGGAGGTGATGGAGGAGGTGATGGAGGAAGTGATGGAGGAGGTGATGGAGGAGGTGATGAAGGAGGTGATGGAGGAGGTGATGGAGGAGGTGATGGAGGAGGTGATGGAGGAGGTGATGAGGAGGTGATGGAGGAGGTGATGGAGGAGGTGATGAAGGAGGTGATGGAGGAGGTGATGGAGGAGGGGATGGAGGAGGTGATTGAGGAGGTGATGGAGGAGGTGATGGAGGAGGAGAGGGAGGAGGGGATGGAGGAGGTGATGGAGGAGGTGCTGGAGGAGGTGATGGAGGAGGTGATGGAGGAGGTGATGGAGGAGGTGATGGAGGAGGTGATGGAGGAGGTGATGGAGGAAGTGATGGAGGAGGTGATGGAGGAGGTGATGAAGGAGGTGATGGAGGAGTGATGGAGGAGGTGATGGAGGAGGTGATGGAGGAGGTGATGGAGGAGGTGATGAGGAGGTGATGGAGGAGGTGATGGAGGAGGTGATGAAGGAGGTGATGGAGGAGGTGATGGAGGAGGGGGATGGAGGAGGTGATGAGGAGGTGATGGAGGAGGTGATGGTGGAGGTGATGGAGGAGGTGATGGAGGAGGTGATGGAGGAGGTGATGGAGGAGGTGATGAGGAGGTGATGGAGGAGGTGATGGTGGAGGTGATGGAGGAGGTGATGGAGGAGGTGATGGAGGAGGTGATGAGGAGGTGATGGAGGAGGTGATGGTGGAGGTGATGGAGGAGGTGATGGAGGAGGTGATGGAGGAGGTGATGGAGGAGGTGATGGAGGAGGTGATGGAGGAGGTGATGGTGGAGGTGATGGAGGAGGTGATGGAGGAGGTGATGGAGGAGGTGATGAGGAGGTGATGGAGGAGGTGATGGTGGAGGTGATGGAGGAGGTGATGGAGGAGGTGATGGAGGAGGTGATGGTGGAGGTGATGGAGGAGGTGATGGAGGAGGTGATGAGGAGGTGATGAGGAGGTGATGGAGGAGGTGATGGAGGAGGTGATGGAGGAGGTGATGGAGGAGGTGATGAAGGAGGTGATGGAGGAGGTGATGGAGGAAGTGATGGAGGAGGTGATGGAGGAGGTGATGAAGGAGGTGATGGAGGAGGTGATGGAGGAGGTGATGGAGGAGGTGATGGAGGAGGTGATGAGGAGGTGATGGAGGAGGTGATGAAGGAGGTGATGGAGGAGGTGATGGAGGAGGGGATGGAGGAGGTGATTGAGGAGGTGATGGAGGAGGTGATGGAGGAGGAGAGGGAGGAGGGGATGGAGGAGGTGATGGAGGAGGTGCTGGAGGAGGTGATGGAGGAGGTGATGGAGGAGGTGATGGAGGAGGTGATGAGGAGGTGATGGAGGAGGTGATGAGGAGGTGATGATGGAGGAGGTGATGGAGGAGGTGATGGAGGAGGTGATGAGGTGATGGAGGAGGTGATGAGGAGGTGATGGAGGAGGTGATGGAGGAGGTGATGGAGGAGGTGATGAGGAGGTGATGGAGAAGGTGATGGAGGAGGTGATGAGGAGGTGATGGAGGAGGTGATGGAGGAGGTGATGAGGTGATGGAGGAGGTGATGAGGAGGTGATGGAGGAGGTGATGGAGGAGGTGATGGAGGAGGTGATGAGGAGGTGGATGGAGGAGGTGATGGAGGAGATGATGAGGAGGTGATGGAGGAGGTGATGAGGTGATGGAGGAGGTGATGAGGTGATGGAGGAGGTGATGAGGAGGTGATGGAGGAGGTGATGAGGAGGTGATGGAGAAGGTGATGGAGGAGGTGATGAGGAGGTGATGGGGAGGTGATGGAGGAGGTGATGGAGGAGGTGATGGGGAGGTGGAGGAGGTGATGGAGGAGGTGATGGAGGAGGTGATGGAGGAGGTGATGGAGGAGGTGATGGAGGAGGTGATGGAGGAGGTGATGAGGAGGTGATGGAGGAGGTGATGGAGGAGGTGATGAGGAGGGTGATGGAGGAGGTGATGAGGAGGTGATGGAGGAGGTGATGAGGAGGTGATGGAGGAGGTGATGGAGGAGGTGATGGAGGAGGTGATGGAGGAGGTGATGGAGGAGGTGATGGAGGAGGTGATGAGGAGGTGATGGAGGAGGTGATGGAGGAGGTGATGGAGGAGGTGATGAGCACAATGCACTGTAGTCTCTGTTTGTCCCTGAAGAGCAGACTGATGATTTTATTCTGACTTTTTCTTTTTTTATTCTTGATTATTGAAGATACAGAGCTTGTTGTTAATTGTTATTTGTTAAATAATTAATCAGTCAGTCTCATTGCACTGTTCAAAGAGGAAGGAAAAGTAAAATAGATAAAAAAGTATTCATGTGTTCATATAACCTGGCAAAAGCCAGATTGATGATTGTGTAGAACTCTAACGCGTTCTCCGCGATATCAATCTGGGATTTCTCCCGGAGAATCCTTTCGGGGAAAGGAGGGGTAAGCAGCAGAATACTTGAAGCTGATTGGGCGAAGTGACGCTGTGTGCCCGCCTACCAACGTTGCCGTCCAGAAATGTACAAAGCGCCTCTCGCTGTTCATCTTTCAAAAAAGAAATTGGAGATTCTGCTAAAACTGGCTTGATAGCCTCAGCTACGCGTCCGTCCTCCTGTGTAGCCAAGTTTGTTTTGCTTCGGCCCGGCACTTCTTGCTTTCGTCAAACCCGGATATCCCGCCCTAAACCCCCAGACTGGCGCGTGATTGGCTCGCACACCCAGTGGTTCGACTCGAAAAGTGTAAGCGGGAGCGGTACAAGATGTATTCTCGAGTGTTTGTGAACTCACAAATACCGCGAGAATTCAGCTTGCAGGCAAGGTTAGTGTTCATATAGTTTTGAACAAATAAGTATCAAAATAAAACGTCCAAATAAAATATCATCCATTTTTCTTTGTTCACAGACTTTTACTAAATAACAATAATATAAAGGATCTAAAACTGCACCATGTGTTTCTACAGAAAGGCTGCCAAAGTGGAATTACATTTGTCCAAAAACTTATTGAAATGTCTCTAAGTCATGACTTCCATTAAAAAGTCATTTTCAGTTGTGAGAATGTCGTGAATAACTTTTTGAGAAAAGATCAACCATGATTGGACAAAATGTAATGGATGAATTTAACAAACCAAACCGTAAAGTGTAACGGTCGTTGCTCATGATAAAATAGTGACTGTAATAGTATTTTACATTTTATTTACTTTACTTTATATTAAGTTTCAGAGCTGGTTAGTGTTTTAGTGTCTCTATTGAGTCAGGATCATTGGACTGGAGCTGAAGGGGGAGGATCATAACGGCCCATAATAATAATACAGACGTACTGAAAAGGTCCCATGATCCTTTGAGGGTGGCGACGCTGTGAGACTGAGAACATTAGCTCTGAGAACATTAGCTCTGAGAACATTAGCTCTGAGAACATTAGCTCTGAGAACATTAGCTCTGAGAACATTAGCTCTGAGAACATTAGCTCTGAGAACATTAGCTCTGAGAACATTAGCTCTGAGAACATTAGCTCTGAGAACATTAGCTCTGAGAACATTAGCTCTGAGAACATTAGCTCTGAGAACATTAGCTCTGAGAACATTAGCTCTGAGAACATTAGCTCTGAGAACATTAGCTCTCTCTCCTGCTCCATCCGTCACATTGTGGTGACTCTATTTGGCCCGTCCTGGGACCCCTGCTGCCCCCCTCACAGATCTCCACAGACTTAAGCTAAATGACTTCAACAAGCGTTCAGGACCCTCTCAGCCCCCCGATGACCCCGCGACTGCAGGACCAGGCGTGGGGGCGGGGGCAGGGAGGGGGCGGGGGCAGGGACGGGGCGGGGGCAGGGCGGGGGAGGGGGTGAGTTTAAATGAAGTCAGTGAGGCAGAAGAGGGACTGATACATGGAGCATGTTAATTACTATAGAGCTGGAGACGAGAGCTTTTGTGAAAGCCCCTTTTTCAATTCAACACCGACGTCCAATGAAAACAGAGAGGACCCAAATGATGTTGTTAATGCATTTTGATGGGATTTGAACCCAGGAGGCGTAATGACCCTATTTGACCATTTAGGTGCATGGGTTGAAGTTTGGGGGTTCTTCATGGAACAAAATCTGACATTTCAATTAAAGATAGTTCTATAACGATAACTAGATCTAGTACAATAAAACACATGATTTTAGTCTGAGTGTGTGTGTGTGTGTGTGTGTGTGTGTGTGTGTGTGTGTGTGTGTGTGTGTGTGTGTGTGTGTGTGTGTGTGTGTGTGTGTGAGTGTGAGTGTGAGTGTGTGTCTGTGTGTGTGTGTGTGTGTGTGTGAGTGTGAGTGTGAGTGTGTGTCTGTGTGTGTGTGTGTGTGTGTGTGTGTGTGTGTGTGTGTGTGTGTGTGTGTGTGTGTGTGTGAGTGTGTGTGAGTGTGTGTGTGTGAGTGTGTGTGTGAGTGTGTGTCTGTGTGTGTGTGTGAGTGTGTGTCTGTGTGTGTGTGTGAGTGTGTGTCTGTGTGTGTGTGTGTGTGTGTGTGTGTGTGTGTGTGTGTGTGTGTGAGTGTGTGTCTGTGTGTGTGTGTGTGTGTGTGTGAGTGTGAGTGTGAGTGTGTGTCTGTGTGTGTGTGTGAGTGTGTGTCTGTGTGTCTGTGTGTGAGTGTGTGTGAGTGTGTGTGTGTGTGTGTGTCTGTGTGTGAGTGTGTGTGAGTGTGTGTGTGTGAGTGTGTGTGAGTGTGTGTCTGTGTGTGTGTGTGAGTGTGTGTCTGTGTGTGTGTGTGAGTGTGTGTCTGTGTGTGTGTGTGTGTGTCTGTGTGTCTGTGTGTGTGTGTGTGTGAGTGTGTGTCTGTGTGTGTGTGTGTGTGTGTGTGTGTGTGTGTGTGTGTGTGTGTGTGTGTGTGTGTGTGTGTGTGTGTGTGTGTCAGTGTCAGTGTGCACTTGTTTTCAACTCCTGGTGGGTTCCATAACCTGAGATTCCACTCACGTCATGGGGACTGGTTTTACGTGGTGGGGCCCGAACACCGGACCCCACTGGTCCAAGCTTAATAATCAATGGGTAATGCTTTTCTAACGGTCCTTATGCAGTCTCTGTAAAAATATGGAAAGGACCCCTGGAGGTTTACTTTCCTGAAAAAAGTGTGTTATGTGTCGGAACCCTGGTGGTGGGTTGTAGGATATCCATTTGAGAAAAGGAGAATTGAGTTGAGTGTAATTGTCGACCTGTGGTTTGTGATCTTGCGCACGGAGCTGCTAGCATCGCGAAACAGCTGGGGGCTGTTAGCTTCTGTAATCAGTAAAGCCGGGGTCAGCCGTGTCAATATTTTCCCATATCTGCGCCACATTGTCTGCTTTATTTACCTTCTCTCTCTTTGGGAAGCACATTCCTCTCCGTTCTTCAGATGGGCCCGATCACTTAAGCCACTGACCATATGTCATAACTCTGGTAACTCTGGGCTGGATTAGGGGCATTCTCCACTTTATGGGCCTCCGTGTGGGAACAGGGAGCACGGCGGCACAGACGGCAAAACAACCAGGACCAGAGAGACCTTTGAATCCACTCGACCAATCACAGAGATCGATAATAAATGTCTCTGAAGTCTGTTGTTTTTGATATACTTTAAAACGACCACTCTATCTGGCTAAAGTTTACCTTTGGATTGGTCCAACTGGTATTGGCTGGATGGACCGTTGCATTGGTTGGAAATGTGACAAAAATACCTGAAAAAAAAACATTCTTGGGTTTCATATGACGTCAGGTGAATAACAATCTTAGGACAGGACGTGACGTATCCTGGCAGTGCAGTCTGTCGGGTTTATACACGGAGATATAGTAGAAGAAGAAGCGGTTTATACACGGAGATATAGAAGAAGAAGCGCTGTCAAAACGCCATCTTTGTGTGCGGTGTACGTTTGTAGCAACCGCACAAACAGAGAGAAAGACCAGAGTTTGTTCATGTTCCAACTGTGGTCTCATATAAAGGAGGACACTTTGAAACAATCACTGGAATGAGGCGGAGGTGGATCAAGGCTTTCCCAGATAAGCGCCCCCTGCAGGCCACCCCAATGAAACACAGACATTTCTTCTGTTTTTCTTTCCAAAAATGCCCAAAATCAAGACTCTTTTGAGAAATATTTGTTAGTACTTCCTTATAATTGAGTGTCCCCGATTAAGACTGTTCC